CTTAGGCATAAGATAGGCTAAGATGTTCCTACATCAAGAAGCTTCTGATCTTTGGTTGCAGCAATGCCAAACCCTCCTTCGCTCCCTTCTAGAAACTTACTCCAAGCCAAAAAAACGAGAAGCAAAGGAGCGATGTTGTCTACAATGTCAGCGACCTCATGCTTATCAAATTACAACCCCACTGCCAAATTTCCGTCTACCCCTTTCCTGTTGCTGAGAGAATTGGTGTTGTCGCCTACAAGCTCATGCTTCCCTTAGAATAAAAAATCCAGCTTGTTTTCCACGTCTCTCCTCAAACAATATTACCATAACCCTCAGTTGCACCCAACACAACTGCCTCCAAATAGCCGGGATTGCCAGACATTCTAAGTTGCAGCCTTTAGTCTAATGGAAGAGGATGTCCGAGGAGAAGCTCCTTGGTTGATGACCAAGCTCTGCAGCCGCAATGGACAAGGACAATCTCCTAAGGAGAAAAGAAATTGATTCATCCCAAAAAATAACACTGTCAATGCTATCGGGAACAAGCTGCTGTGGAGCGATGTTGATGAAGAAATATGTATAAATTGCTACAGTGCTCTGCAAAAAGATATAGAGAAGAATATTACTTCCTCCACTTAGTTCTTCGTGTCGTTGCTCCCATGTCTTTGTTTTGCGTTTGCTGAGGAGGTAAATCGCAAGAGTTGCCAGCACAGTCCTCCAATTTCCCTCAAAAAACCATTGTCATCTTCCGAAGGTACGTAATGAAGAAATATTTAAAATGGGCAGAACACATCAGGTGTTCCTGAACGATTCCCTTATCGAATCCCTAGGAGAATAGTTCTAAAGAAATACGGAAGGAATACCATCGATGCTATGGAATGGTTTGTCACATAATTCAATGCCTCGGGCATCACACACACACACACAGCGTGTACCTGGGGACACTTCTCGACAAGCTCCTGAACATAATTCTCCCCGAAGACACGATGGCCAGCTTCGTAGGCCTGCTGGATGACGGAGACGGACTTCGTCTTGCTCACAGCCACGATCCTCACCTGCTCCGATGATCGACCGGATCTCTCCGCTGCCACGTGTACCCTTGAAAGCACCGAGCGGAGTGCCGTTGCAGCTGCACTTTCCATGGCTGGACAAGCCATGTAGGATTGATCTTCTTAGAGCTTGTGGCCCTTTTGTTTCCTACGCACCTCTTCAGCTGCCTCAAAGACTGAGGATTGAAAGAAGCTGATATGCGATTAAGCTTTCAGCAAGAAAGAGAGAAACAAGAAATGGAGAATGAGAAATTTTATTATGCTTTCATGTATGTTTTATACTGGTATTTATAGTTTCTCTCTTTTATAGATTTTGTAACTGAAATGTCGGCGGTTTTCGTTCCGCCTGAGCTGGCCTGAGCTGGAGCCTCTTCTGGTTTCTTTCTTATTAACATCTCCCCGCAAGCTGATGTCGCTATCGGGATCGTCAGCTTGTTTGCTAGATAATGAAATCTGGAAATGGAAAGGGGTTTTGTCATCAAATATGCAATTTGATCTTGCGACGCAATATGATGTACCTGAATGGTTTGATTTTTGATGCATTCTCTTATGTAATGGCAATCAATCTCTATATGTTTAGTTCTGGCATAATAAACTGGGTTGTTTGCTAGGGCAATCGTAGAAGTGTTGTCGCAGTACAGTATTGTCGATTGAGTCTGTTCACAGTCAAGTTCTTGTAAAAGTCTACGCAACCAGATGATTTGGGTTGCATTAGTTGCCATGGCTCTGTATTCCGCCTCTGTGGAAGACCTAGCAATCGTTGATTGTTTCTTAGCACACCAGAAAATAGGTGTGGAACCTAAGAAATTGCAATACCCTGTCGTTGATTTCCGATCTTTGTGATCACCAGCCCAGTCTGTATTTGTATAGGATGTCAGTGTAAGTGAGTCTGCTGTAATGGATATTCCAGTTTGTGTAGATCCTTTTACATATCTGAGAATTCTTTTGAGTGAATCGAAATCTTCATTTGTTGGAGAATGCATCTGTTGACATGCTTTGTTAACTGCATAGGATAGATCCGGTCTCGTGAGGGTAAGATATTGTAGTGCTCCAACTAATTGACAATAGAGTCTTGGATTTTCAAACTGAGTCGACTCTGTTGATGACTTGTTTTTTAGAGTTATCGGAGTCGAAACTGCTTTGCTATTTGACATCACTGCTCGATCTAAAATGTCTTCTACATACTGTGTTTGATGTAGTATGAGGCCAGTTGGTGTCTTCTCTGCAGTTATGCCCAAGAATTGTTTGAGAGAACCTAAGTTCCTCATGTTGAATCTCTGACTCAATTTATTCAGCAATGCAGTGATTAAGAAATCATTGTTGCCTGTTAATATGATGTCATCCACATATACTAGAAAGTATATGATATTCCCATTGTGTTTGTATATGAGTAGCGATGAGTCTGACTGACTGGTGATGAAATGCTGCTCATGTAAGAAGCCAGTTGAGGTCTCAAACCACTGTCTCGATGCCTGTTTGAGACCGTATATCGCCTTATTGAGTTTACAAACATAGTTGGGATGATTTGCATCAATAAATCCAATTGGTTGCTTCATGTATATATTCTCGGATAGTTGGCCATGTAAGAAAGCATTTGATACATCTAGTTGGTGTATAAACCAATTATGATGTAATGTTATAACCAGTAATATGCGTACCGTAGGTATCTTGGCCACTGGACTAAACGTCTCTTTGTAATCCCATCCATGCTGTTGATGACAGCCCAATGCTACCAGTCTTGCTTTATGACGAACTAGAGTACCATCTGAGTTGTATTTGGACTTGAATGTCCATTTGCAGCTGATTGGATTTTGTTCTGTTGTTGGAGGTACTAATCTCCATGTACCTTATGATTGGAGTGCTTGAAACTCCTGTGACATTGCTTCTCTCCAATGTTTGTACTTGACAGCTTGAGTATATGTGACCGGATCATCATCACTGAGTTGATGTGTGAGATCAAAAATTTGTTTTGGTCTAATGTGACATGTCTGAAGTCTTGTTTTCATATGATGCTGCTGAACTTTTACTGGTAATGCAGGTGTTGTTGGTAGAGAGGGACTAGAGCGGAATTGAGGGGGGTTGTTGATTTGCTATGTGTTAGGAGATGAGGTAGCTGGCGGAGATGATGTGAGTGTTGTTGGGCCAGTTTGTTTATATGTATAGTTGGATGTGGGAATGAGTAGAAGAGGAGGAATATGACTGGTTCTTGTTTGAACTGTAGAGTATGTGTTGGTAGATGAGGTATCTTGAAATGGAAAGATTTTTTCATTGAACACAAAATGTCTGGATACATAAATCCGATTTGTAGTGAAGTCCAAACATCTATATCCTTTTTGTGCTTGAGCATAACCAATGAATACACATTTTTTAGATAGTGGAGAGAGTTTTGATTTACTGTAGGGTCTTAGCCAGGGATAGCAAAGGCATCCAAATATTTTTAGATGCATATATGTGGACTGTTTGTTGTATAATTTTTCAAAATGAGTTTTGTTTTGCAATGTAGGAGTGGGCAATCGGTTTATTAAATGGACTGTTGTATGCATTGCTTCAGTCTAGAGAGACTGAGGAGAGTTGGACTGAATTAGTAATGTCCTAAATGTTTCGACAATATGACGATTTTTTCTCTCGGCAACACCATTCTGAGAAGGTGTATAAGGACATGTAAATTGATGATTTATGCCATGCTTTGTACAGTATAGTTTGAATGCATGATTTAGATACTCTCCACCACCATCTGTTCTAATGATTTGAATCTTCTTGTTGAACTGACATTGAATGTATTGATGAAAGTTTATAAAGGTAAGAGTAACGTCAGCTTTTTGAGTTAACGGAAAGACCCAACTATATCTAGTGTAGTCATCTATAAAAGACACATAGTATTTATAGCCTTGTATAGATGTAGTTGGAGATGGCCCCCATACATCTGAATGCACTAATTGAAATGGTTGTGTAGTAAGAGTAATAGACTTTTGGAATGGTAGTTGTCTGCTTTTGGCAAGACAGCAGCTGTTACATGTTTTTGATATGGTAGTACAAATATGAGAGTGGTTGTTAGCTAATAAACGTAGGATAGAAGTATTTCGATGCCCAAGTCAAGAATGCCATAGGTCTGGGACAGTTTCAGCTGAAATAAGAGCCAATGGAGGGGAGGTGGCTTGCACTTTGTACAACCCATTATGGCATGGTCCTTTGAGTAGAAGACGTTGTGTCTTCAAATCCTTTATTTGATATCCATCAGATGAAAAAGATATAGTGCAGTTGTTATCAGTTGTAAGTTGATGCACGGATAGAAGATTAAAGGATAGGTTTGGTACATGATGAAGTTTGTGTAGATAAAGGTTACCTGTGGGTGTAGGGAGAATGCCACGTCCAGTGTTGTGAATGGGAAGTTGTTGCCCATTTCCAACAGTTACCTGAGAATTACCAGTATACGGTTCAATTGCACTTAGTTGTGATGCTTCAGATGTAAGATGTGTTGACGCTCCACTGTCAAGAAACCAATCTGCTTGAGAATTTGAACCGGATGAGCTGATCAGGGCGGTATTGTGTCATGTATCATTGTAGGCTGGATCATTTCTGTACCAACAGCGAACTGCTGAATGACCAGTTTTGCTACATATTTGACATATTGTATTTCTATGCAGGTTTCTGTCTTCCTGGTCGCCCCTTCCAGATCTACGACCTCTGTTTCCTCTTGAATTGTTATTTCGTCCTCGTCCTCGACCACGATGAGCTGCCAATGCAGATGCATTGTCTGTTAAATTTAGAGATTGAAGATCTCTTGATGTTTGAATCTGTTCTTCACTACACAGCAAACTGTACAGGTCATCAAGACTGATTGGTTGCAGATTCGTTCGTATCGCCGTGTTGAACGACTGATACGATGAGGGAAGTCCATTTAACGTATAGAGAATCACGTCTTCCGCATCGATCACATGTCCTGTTGCTGCTATTGCGTCTACTTTTGATTTCACTTCTAGTAGATACCGAGTCATTATTTTATTTCCTTTTGATAGATGATGCAACTCATTTTTCAATTGAATGATTTTTGATCGGCACGTTGCTTGAAGACGATGAGCAAGAGTATTCCATATCTCCTGACAGTGATCAAGAGTGAGAACATAAGGTAGAATGGATGGAGAAATTACCGAGTATAAGGCCGCTGAGAGATTCTGATCAATGAGAATCCAATCGCTGTACGAGATTGAATCATCTGTTCTTGATAATGCATCCTAGGAGGATGACTGAGATGGATAGGTACATGTTCCGTCAATGGAACAACGAAATCCATTTGCTGTGAAAACTTTTTCAATTTGACATTTCCAGATGGAGTAGTTTTCAGCTGTCAGCTGATTTGGAACAAGATTCTTGATATTGCTCATCAAGAATTTCAACTGTGGCGGAATGGTTATGGTAGCGATCGAAGATTTGGACGCTGCCGTTTGAGATTGAATGGATGATGCTGCCATCGAGTGCAGATGAGTTGATCACAGCGAGGAAAAGAGTGGAAAAAAAAATTCTTCGTCTCTATTAATTGTGCTCTGATACCATGAAAGAAGTTGATATGCGATTAAGCTTTCAGCAAGAAAGAGAGAAACAAGAAATGGAGAATGAGAAATTTTATTATGCTTTCATGTCTGCTTTACACTGGTATTTATAGTTTCTCTCTTTTACAGATTTCGTAACTGAAATGTCGGCGGTTTTCGTTCCGCCTGAGCTGGCCTGAGCTGGAGCCTCTTCTGGTTTCTTTCTTGTTAACAAGGATCACAACAAGCAATACCTAATGGCTAATGGAACCACAGTGCAAAAAATGCCGAGCTTGGTGGCTTTTGACCTAAAAAAAAAACTTTATATATATACTCTCTATGATTTTTCGTGTGAGCAAAGGAATAATATAGGTACCATCAGTCATATGGGTTGAAGGTGACTTCATAATCATGGATGTGCCAATCACCTACAACATAATTTTCGAGCTACCTCTCCTAAGTACATTAAAGATAGTCATATCAAAATATCATATGATGATTAAGTTACCGACAAGATGCCAAAGAATCATGAGAGACAACGGCACCCAATCATAGATGTGTTATTTGAAGGTTGTGGGGACG